TTTTTTCACGATTGCCAAAGAAAAATGTCGTCCCCGCCGAAATAGATGCACAAGAAGACGACAAGCTTCCAGGAAAGGCTCTGGACAAAATGAACAAGGAAGTACAGAATGCCATATTAATACAGCACCCCATATCCTTGGATGTTTATAATCTGTGTGAGCTTGCTGTGCAGAACACGATGAAAAAATTCTCGAAACCCCTGCTACGAGATGTGAGCAAAACTTGGACACCAGCAAAAAGGATAAGAAAAGAAAACAATCCTACGTTGACGCCACTCGTCCGCACACATCTTTTCACAAAAAAAAAACCAACCATTTCAACTAAAGCCGTTTTATGAGAAAAAAATATTTATACCGACATTATTAGTTTTTGTTTCCTAAATTAATACAATAGATATGAGGCGAGTATATATTGAGCGGGATTCATGTGATAACTTACCGATACCGAAATCATTCGCGTAACTCAAGGGCGGATCCAACGGAGGGGTCCAGGGCTGCGGACCCCCCTTTACAGCTCGTTATTTCCCCTTTTTTAACATACGATATATTGCAGATAATTTTCTATTGAAAGTCATAACTCATATGTAGGTTTATAAATTGAAAGCCAAATCAAGAGTTATGTTTGCGTTCTGAAAGGTTACAACAAAATAGCGGTATGTATGACCTCAAAAATAACGTCACTGATTGAATGTACTTTTTGGACCCCCTTAAAAAATATCCTGGATCTGCCTCTGAAACTAGACAAATGTTACCTCAGGGGTCACACACAATACAAGGGCGTATAACATGAGCCGATCTATTATTTTTGATGCGTTCGTGAGAAGAGCAAAGTTTGCATTCCTATATTACATAAATTTGTTATGCATACAAGAGGGGGATATTGTTTTAAAAGAAAGCATAGTTTAAGGGGCTTCGATATTTAAGTTTTAGTCCTCAAGCGGCTGGGCCGGCAAAAAAAAAGGCTTTTGAGAATTCTTTATCCCCAATGGTCATGGCCGCCAGTTTTCACGCAACGGTTTTGTTTAGATGACCGTCACTATACCTAGAATTCATGATTTGTGAAGCGGTAGGGAGTAAATGCTGCTCTTTCTTCAGAAAAATCCCTCAAATTTGCTAAGTGTTGATTCGTAATGAAATTTATGAACCTAAATGGTAATGAGATAATCACGGTATGAGAGGGGTGGGGGGGGGGGGGGGGGG